CCCGTGTCCTCACAAGCGCCCTGCTCCAAAAACTTGGTGGCCACAAACTTGGGGAAAATCGCCATATCTGGAGGGAGGTCCTGACCCTTGGCGGCGGCACGCTTGGCATGGCCACAAAATGCCCGCAGCCAATACTCTGCCGTCGGAGCATTCCGGCCCTGCAGAAGATCAGTCAAACCTAGAGAAAAATACACCATCCAAACACTCCTTACGCACACGAGAACGCAACAATGCGTGTGTCCTCACTCCACAGCAAAGACTCGCTGAAACATGTCTTGCACTTTGCAGCGATGAGCTCCACTTCATCCTCCTCAGAGCTGAAAGACCGTGCTAGCAAGCGCGGCGGTGGAAGCGCAGGCTTCACTTCTGGAGCTGAGGAGGAGGAGGCTGCAGGAGCAACTCCAACAACTGCTGGCGAAGTCGGTTCAAAGGAGATTGCTGGAGCTGGAGGGTCGGCTGGAGTAGGTGTGCCTTTCTGGCTCTTCTTGTTGTAGCTCACAACAAACTCCACTTCCCTCACTCCCAGGCCAAGATTCTGTCTGCGGACACACTGATCAATCAACCAATGTGTCTGCGGATTGAAGCATGGCGGCATTTCATCCCACTCTGCTGCACCATGCTACGGTCCTGGCAATTCTTTCTCTCTACTGTCAGGCTTGTAGCATGTGTCTTCCCAAAAATCTCTGCAAGTTCGTTTTGCACTTTATCGGAAAGGAGGTACGAAATTGCTGCTACCGTGGCTCCCTGTCGTAGTGCGTTCCTGTGCAAGAGTCTGGAATATCCCCAGTCGAGAGACGCTTCCGGAACATCCAAGAAATGCTCGATCTCCAACATGAACGTGTCTGGGTTGAACCGTCGGGACAGAAGGCACAATTTGGCAGGGAACTCTTGGTACTCACTGAAGCGTAGTAAGATGTGAATTTCCGTGACGAACAGAGATGCAAAACAAGAAGTTTGGTCCACCAATGTGTCTGCGTGCAGCCAATCTGCTATATCCAAGAGTTCAGCAAGTGTGCGCTGCTGCACAACTCCCTTAGCTAGCTTGACCAGGGTGGGCACTTCATCCAAGGAAGCCTTCGTTGTTCCAGAACGTTTTGCAGTCAGACTGGTTGCAAGACCTGTGAGGCGAAGGCACAAGCAAGCACGCCTCAAATCTCTCTGCTGCACCTCGTCGTCATACCAAGATCGGAAAGCAACTGCCCGTTTTGCATTCTCTTCTTGCATGTGTATCGTCTGTGTCCGGAAAATTTGCGCAGGGATTTTCAGGAGCTGACATAGCAACAACTTGTTTGCGCAAAAGCCGAACAACCAAAACCGGGATATGACAGGCTTGTCTTCGGGCTGAAGGAGTAGTCTGTACAACAAAGTAAAAATAAGGCCACGGAAGGTTTCCAAGCTTTTTGGCTGTGGCTCTTGGTGGAGAAGCTGACAAATATCGATGTTAAGCAACGACCGGACAGTGTTTGGAATGACTTCGAGCCCATAGAGCTGTAGCAACCCCCCTGTCCACCCGAGCTTCTGCACTTGGAATGGGACCTTGGATCAGAGAAATGCCAGATGTGTTGGCAATGACCCATTGTCGCAACAAGGCAGCAAACTCTTCTGTGTAGTCTGGAAGTAAGTGTCGGAAAAATCTGGATACAGACGCACAAAGTTCATTACCGTCAACGGGATTCACCATCTGACGGCCACAAATAGCTGTGACTGTAACAAGGGCTGCTTTGTGTGCTGCACACCTCCACATAATGAGCCGGTAAGTCATGCATCTCCGAAAGGAAGAGATTTCCCTGAAATAGTGAAGAACAATGCGACAAGCTGCCTCGTTGGTATTGATAGAGTCTCCCGTCAGCACATGTACCACTGTGGGCAATTCGTCGCGCACATCTTCGGGACTCAGCAAGGCAGCCAATACCCCGTTCAGAGCTACAATGATTGAAGTTGCCACAACCTCTTTGGTTTTGTTTTTGAGCGGCTGCAACTCTACATACCAAGGCAAAGCTTCTGTGTCCAAACCATGGATTTGAACCGAATGGTTTTGAATTTTTGAATGCTTCTGTCGTGACAACTTGGGAGCATTTCGAGGCAGAATGCAGTCTTCGGAACTCTCCAGCGTAGCGGTATAGCTGCGCATTCTCATGTCGGCTCCATCGTGGACATGGGAAATTACAATAGACAAACTTTTCTTTTCAGCGCATGCTCGACTAAAGGAGTACTGTAGTTGCTTGGCAGATAGTTCTTTGATTTGCTCCACAAAGGCATCCCGGATGTTACCAACCTTCGGGTGGCTGATTACTTGCTCCCCGCCCAGTGCATGTTCATTGAGCAAAGTTGCCAAATTTCTCGAAGGTAGCGTTGGATCTGCCAGCATCACCCGTAATATCGCAGAGCGGGAGAGCATACCATACTTGTCTTTTGTTCCCTTTATGTCCTGCTTTTCTTTCAACAATCTGCTCAACTTTTTCTTGTTGTATTTCAAAGAGCTCTCCAATTGAGCCCTAGTTTTTTTCTTCACCTGTCGGGTTCTGGAATGGGCCGGTTCTTCTCGCACATCAAAATGAGCTTCTAGAGAAGCCACCAAAGTCTCTACATTGGAAATTACGCTGGTATGATCTTCTGATGTCAGCGTTGCCTTAAATTGCACCAAGTGGCGATGAAGACTTTTGGCTTCATCGTTGCCCTCCATACATCACACTCTAAGAAAAAACTTCAACATGCAATGGTGCCATGCAATGCCTCATTTCACACCCCAATGTTCACATGTCCCTGGGTGATATTGTAGAAACCATTGCATTTTGTTGTCAAGATATGTTTTCTGTCTTCGTGGGATTGCCATATGCACCTATTGCAGTGCACATTGAGCCATGCAATGAATGTCGGCCATCTCAATAATACACCACAAGAATCAAACATCAACACAAAACCTTCTGAAAAGAGAAACCGCATGAACAAAAAAGGGTTCCAAGAATTTACACCTAATCAAGTCAACCTTTGTAGTTCGACCCCCTTTCTCGCGAGCATTCGCGAACCCCTTGTTCACCAGAGCCCCGGTTCTTCCGGTGGAGCATACAGTACGTTGCGCAAGACGCTGTTGCACATACTGAAATCAGAAAGAGAACAGGAACAACGAGAGGCAAAAGGAGAGAAAAACATGTAGCAAAAAAGTCTGCCCTCAAGCAACTAAGCAACAAATAAAATTTCAACATATATGTATGCAAAAAATATATATATATATATAAAATAATAGCTATAAGTTTAAGCAGGTTTGGACAACGTTCTCCTGCAGTCTCTAGGCTGTTTCTAGTCTCTCTCCGTATTTCAAAGCGGAGCACGTCAAGCAAGGGGAAAACAAAAAGGCACTCGTCAATGGCACGTAGTGAGGGAACGAGTCTGTAGTCAAAGACTTCCCGGGCTATGAAGTGTACGAAGGACAACTTCTAGCTGGCAGCCGAAGCCGAGCTTCCAAGTCTAAGTGATGAAGGATAAAGGTGGTGAAGGCCAGGGAAGGACAAAAGGAAACAGAACACCCGCACCCTCTCGGTTTAAATCTGCATCCAGCTTCAATTGCGACGGGAGCTGCGCAGCAGGGACACATGGCAGCCATGTCTGGCTCCTCTCTCCCCAAATGAGATGTTGATGGATGTTGGATGAATCAGATCTTGGTTCTGAGCCATCCATCCAGTCCACCACCCATCCAGCCAAGCCAAGTCTCTCATATGATCCATTGAACTTCTCTACTGCCTTTCTGCTACGATCCAAGCTCTCAAGGTTTGTGGGCGTCAAATCCCCTGGAGTGCGGCGGCCAGGGTCGGTGGTCATGGTGTTTCCTTTACATCCACTCTGGGCATGGCTTTATGCTTCCGGCTTCATGCTAGGCTTGCTTCATGGATTTTCCAGCAATGTATCCACACAATGAAGCCCGGCTAAAAAGACTCTTCCAAACAGGTCAGTAGGTATGAGAAAACCTCACAAAAGCAAGTATCATCAACATTCCTGTCATCCATGCGTCTGCAAACTCAAAAGGAACAACAATCCCCTGCTGGCATTGCAAATTTGAGCCAACATGTTTTTTTTTGAATATGCATCCTGCAATGCATTGGGAAACATTAGAACTATGGCGAACTGCAGCACAAGATCCCATCAGTGACCCAAATACCGATCATCATTTACAAATGGAGCTGCAAATCTTCCACCAAGCAGCAACACATCCCTCCCTTTCCGAAAAGCCATCCAGCTCTACCCGCATCCCCCGACACCATGAACCCGCTTGGCAGCTCACCCAGTCGCAAAGAGCTCCCGATGACCACATTCACCACCTTGTCGATGATGTGTAGTGACGCATGTTTGTGACCTCGAGGACACGAATGTTTGGATAAGGGCCAAACGAGGCTCCAGCAGCCCTAGCCCTCTGCGGAGGTACGGAGCCACACCTGATCCCTTCAGGGGTGGCACCCGCTCTGACTCTTGCCCAAAAACTGCCCCCTCGGCAACCATCCGCCGTACAGATTCAAAACCCTAATTAGATCGAGTTGAGGGAAATATCCATCGCTCTCCCTATCTTCTGTTCGCGAAGTGTTAAAATCTGGTTCAAATCACTTTGAACTTAACCACCCACGTCCTACGCCCCGTTGGAAGAGTCGCCAAAAATCTGAAAACAGGACGGCGGCTAGCTGCTAGCTGAACCGCCAGATCATGACAAACAAATCAAAAGTGCTGAAGCTAAGAAGAGATGACAGCAACTTTGCCAGCAGGTGTTCCCCATCTGGGAAAAATGGCACGTGCCCAAGGCTCTTGGCAACCTCTATAAACGAAAACTGAAGCCGAAAAACTGGAGGCTGCGAGGAAGATCCAGGCACGTGTGTGGCTCGTCTGGGCGTCTGGGCTGGGAACCATGAGACGTGAGCAACACACTTCGATTGGTGGAAGAATCCTTCAATTCATCACATGTGATTGCAATGTGACCCCGGGCAACGAAGAAACTGCATTGTTCCTGAGACCACGACCATTGCAGCAGCCGTAGGACCTCCAAGCAAAGCGACTGATGATGCCCCCCGGTCTTCCGGAGCGCGAACGCCAGAAGCCCAAGACTTGGGCATACGGATAAATGCGGTGTGCCTGGATTTGCTTGTTACATCGTCTTTCTATATATATATATATATACATAGGTGTGTGTGTGTGCATATATGTATATACTTATGTAACTTATGTATATATAATCTATATCTTCTTTGGAAGGGCCATACCCACCAAAACAAAAGAACGCCCGCATCAGACCGCCCCAACCGCGCGGCGAAAACTCGTGGCGAACACTCGCCCCTTGACTCAGGCGATCCGGCCAATAAAGATCCGTCACTGAAGCAGCCAGCGAAGGCGAGGGACCTCACCTAGACCGCATAGGCAATGGTGAGGGGCTTTTGCGAAGCGAAACGATGGAACACATTAGGAAGGCAAGAAGCACACTTCTTGAGAAACATCGAAGTGGAAAATGCAGGTCAAAAATGCTTGCAGGCTTGGTGCCTTTCCAAATGTTTCTAATTTCTTGTACCATAACCAAGATTAAAATTAAAACCATCCCCCCGCTACTAAAACGCCCGCACGAGCCTCTTGCACCATGTTTCGCCGATCGACTGTTCCACAATGGTCAAAATTCTGTTCTAACGACGAAGGAATGAATGGATGAGAAACCTTTGTCTAAAAGACTTTCCCAAATCATAAGCCTGCTTGAGAAAACAGGAACGGGCATGGGACCATTGGTCAGCTTCAACATGAGCAGGCTCCCAGCCAAAATTGCCAAGTGCACTAAGGTCCACTGAATTAGTGATGTCAAATCCAAGTGGCACAATCACCTCAAGACGTGATGAACAAATGCAATCATATGACACTCATCCCCATTTGAACTCGGCCCACCCCATCAGTTGGTTTCCTCCACCCGAAGCTAAGTCCCATGGCCATGGATCCAGGGCCCTCCTCCCCGCCGGAAAAGACCTGCGAGGGCTGGGCATGGTGACAAGTCGGTGGGTCTAGGACGTGGGATTTCTACACACGTCTTGTGATCAGTCCCACCAAGCATTCCCCAGAGGATCCCGCAAGTCCCGGCTCGACCTAGACTTTTGGGCCAGATCAGCACACCATGGACCATCGCGGCCTCTGCAGCGGAAAAGTCCTGGCACCAAGGAATGAGATGTGGCTCTTAGCGAGCGCGTGTCAACGTCCAAGCCCCTGGCAGCCTACACACAGCCTATAGAAATCTTCTCACTAATTATTTGTCAGTATCATTCATCCTCCTGTAATCTGCAATCCGTGGAAAGTCGGTTTTTTTCCTCCTCATCCACCCCACCGCCAGAAACCACCCCTCCTCTCCCGTCACCAGCTTCTCAGCAGCTTCCGGCCAGGTGCGCCGGATCAGCTGTGAGGCGGTGGACCTCACGGTTTGCAGCGGTCGGTCCAGCCTCGCTCGGCATAAGAAGGGGCAACTAGACAACTTGCTGGTGTGGCGTGAAGAACAAAGGAATTGTAAAGGAAAAATATTGAAAAAGTTCGATGAAATACATTTGTGCGATGTTAAACGACGATTGAACCCCAAAAAAGAAACTCTAAAAAAGAGAAGAAAAACACTGGCACCTGTCAGGTTTCAAGTGGGGGAACTCGGCGGCGCAAATGGCACAAGGGACATACAAGTTGACTATCTGAATTCTAGCAGCTGAACGTGGTCTGGGATGTTGCGACCACTGCCTCTTAAAGTGATCTTCCACGCAACATCTGTGACTTTGTCAGTCCGATCTTACTTACAAATCATTTCAATGTTTTTCTCATGCCGCCCTGTGGTTTGCTGTCTGTGCAAGCCAAGCTGCATCACTTCGGGGAATCTCTCTCGATGCAAGAAATCTATGTATACGATGTATATATTATCATATTTCACCGCCGGGAGGGTGCAGGCATGCCGGGTGGTCAGTGAGGATAAATTTGGAGAAGTATGATGTATCTATGTGTATCTTGTTCATTCCGTTTCACCTTATCTTCCTGGTGACTTTGGGTTGGTGTGATGAACATGTCCAGAGGCAGTCCATCCACACGCCAAAGATCGACCTGAATCACTCGGATCGCCGGTTGAAGGACTTTTCTCACCAGTGACAAGACTGCCAAGCTCCAGCAAGCATCGAACCTGACAAAACATGGTGCCAATTGGATTGGCTCAATCGTGGTTTGTACCATGTTGATCCATTTTGTACTTGTTCCCACCGCTCACACCACAAGAAATCCACCGGTGTTTTCCGTGCATCCATCCATTTCTGGCCTTGTCACATGTGGCGCCCACACTGTCCACCACACGCGAAGCTATCAAAAAAAAGGACATCCAACTCATTGAGCAAAGCCCTCAGAACCACCTTGACACTTCTCTGGCCGACGTTCTGAGCTACAACCTACAAACGTTTTCATGAGTAATTACTCAACCAATCCGAACTCTTCTGGTGCTTTTTGGTAGCAGTGTCGGCCCCCTGTATCCCGGCTTGGACCGATTCCGGTGATCAACTCCGGTGACCACATCCCCGTCGCCGCCTCTCGCTCCTCAGGCTCCTTCGGCGCCCGCGGCTCCGCCCAGCAGCGCCGCTGGGTGACGCCCAGGCGCCCAGCAGTCATATGGACCAAGAGGCACTGGATTTCAAGATGGCACATGACATGTGCAGCAAGGGACAACTCAACTCAGTATATAGAAGGGACTTCAGACATCTATCATGCTTGGGGTTGTCCAGCAGCAGTCAGCTGGTATCTGAATACATGTTCACTTGCATAAGGAGAAAAAACCTGTACACTGTAGACCTTTGCACTAACTCTACAACCTCAGTGGGTCAAGGCTTGTCTGTCTGACTCGTATCAATGAGCTTCAAACTTCAAGGCATCTTATGATGGAATTATGACCCATTTTGGAACATTGAACCGGGGCATACCACGGCGCATGCGGCGAAACAGGTTTGTCGTTTCGAGGGTCATCTTCGGTATGGCTTCTTTATGTATGTGTATAGATGATAGATGGAGATGCTTGAGCCAGACGAGCTCAAATGCACATTCTGAATGCCATCACCTTGACATACGTTTTCCCAGGACAGTTTTTGATGTAAAATCATGAGCGCTCTGGAGGGCAAATTTGTGGAGGGGTTCTCAAGTGCCTTGTTAAGGCTGTGGGCAGGACGCACGCTCATCCAACTACAATGATCTCAAGATCTGCGCTCCGACTCATTAACATGGAAGCGGGGAATGGGCCCCTGAAAGACAATTTTCCTTTACAAACAGGTGGTTTTCCACTTCCATGTTAGTGAGTCGAAGGGTAGAAAAACTTTGTTCAGGGCCTGAGGGGTGCTTTGCATCACTTGTGGTCCATCAGTCCTAGCAGTTGCGATTCCACGCCTCCTGCATCTGGCGCATCATTGGTTTCAACTCGGCCGGCTTCACACTCAAGTCATCGCCTGCAATGGCTTGCTGCAAGCAGCTCCAAGAGTCCAACCACCATGAGTTCCGAAAAAAGTGGTGCCGAACTTCGCCAACACCTTCTGCCGCTAAACGCCCCCTTCACCTAAACCCACTCGACCTGTTTCAACACCGGAGAAAACGATCCCGACCAGGTGACCATCTCCCAGGGCGCCTAGGTCCACGTGCACCGCGCAAAGGGCTGCCTTGAGTGACTGCACGGCCACCTCCAGCGGCTGCTGCCGCGCGAGACGCCGCCGCGACTGGCGCCGTCGCGCCTGCAACGTCAAGGCGAGGGCCTTCCGCCAGTGATGTGCCTGGGCGCCTGGAGGAATCCAATGGCTGGCACGCCGTGTTTGTTTTAAAGACGTTTTTGTGCATATCGTATCTCATCATCTCTCCATATTGACCATTCTGTAGAGATAGTTCGCGGCCGTCACTGGACAAGAACCGCCAACAACATCCAACAATTCCCATGGTCGACAGCATTGCTCCAACGATATTTCCCACTCAACATTGATTTTAAGATATTTTAAGACTTGCCGTTTTTTCGATATTCTCCATGTAAAACCAAGAAACCTCTTGGGGTCCACCTCAACCCTTCTTCTATACACTTTGATCATTTTGTTACCAATCTCGAACATTCTCCAACTCCAGGAAGTGCCAACCAAACTCCCAGGCCCTCCAGGCCCCTTCCCATGCGACAGGCACATGCGACCGCCACTGCCGACAGCCCCAGCGCATCGCCCTCCGCGCTGTGCGCATGCGCGAGGCCCAGGAGGTGGAGAGCCATCGACCATTGCAGTGCTTTTTGGCAAGATTGAATGGCAGCACCTGGTATGTCCACAACAAAAAAAAACTGTTAGGTGGGAAACTGTTGGGATGGGTAGCGGGGTTGATAGTTTGGAAAGTGACAATAGTTGGGAACTCGGAAATCGTGAGCCCTTTCATGGCTTTGGATACGTCAACGAAACCAAAGGACGCAAAAAAGATCCTGGCCCATCTCACTCTGCTCTGTGCCCCCGTGCTTCGTCTGGCTTCTTCTCTTTTGTTCGCGCTGCGGTGGTATGTCGCCAGACTAACTGGCGGAGTCTGTTCCACCGATGTCCATCCGATGACAATGTTGGAAGCCGATGACGATGTTATATGAACGGATGACCGTGTTGAACCATTGACCGTGGTGTGAAACCGATGATAATGTTGGGAAAGCTGTTGATCAGTGCTGCCCCACCCCCAAGTTAAAAATACAACGCCAAAGCCCCATGTGCACGTCTCACTCAAAAAACAACAACAGAAGGGATCAAACTGATCAAGGAAGAAAGGGCAGGTCTTCTTCTGTACTAGCTGCTGGCTATTCCCTCGTATGCTTCTCTTGCAAGTGGCACGGGCCCTGCCCCAGCATCAGCGACATTGATGTCCTGTTTTGAGGATTCTGTACCCCCTGTTGCTTCCCGCGTGACCACTATTAAATTGGGACCAAAACATCTTCAAACACACATTAAGAACACAGTGGAATAAACATGAACTGAAACATATATCCTTTCTGACAGGTCAGGTTTGGAAGGTTCCTTTCCCATCCTTTCCCCATCTGGTCTGGTGATCCATCTGCAGTCAGGTGACAAAATCGGATCGTCTTTTGGGCCTGGCGGGGAAGACGAGGGCCGTGGTCTCGGTGGCGTTGTGCCTTTTGAACCACCAAGAGATCCCTAGAGTTGTGCCTTCTCAAAAGGCATGACACACCACAGGGCCTTAGAAAGCCATGTCCTCTGGTCATTCCTGTAAATGTCCGTGTTGATTTGTTGGTAGAGTTGGTCGCCATCCGCTGGAGCCAAGTCCTACATCTTAGCTTACACGTCTGACCCACTGACTGAGGCCGACCCTTGTAGCAAATCCTCGATCCAATGGAGAAGTGGCCAGCAGCAGCGCGGACTGCCATAGTGCGTTTTTTCCTTAGCCCAAGCAACGAGACCTTTTTGGAGGGTCAGGTATTCTTAATATCAACACCCGGCAACTCCAATCAACAAAGACTTACTTGGGGAATGTGGTGAGCTAGCTCCCAAAGATTTCGTGGGCTGCATCAAGAACCACGCTGCACCACTCACATGGCCTGGACTTCCTCTATGACTATGAGGGATGGTCAACTCATTCATTTATTGGTTGGTCCCTCACCCAAACACCTTAGGTTTCCAGGGCTGGTTTCTACAATGGTTAGTCCATGTCAACTCAGACAGACAAATTAAACAAATGTGCACATGATTTAAAAAATGTATATGTTATATCTATATAATATATATGGCTTAACAGTGTTGTAATACAGGGATAGAAAGCGAGAGCGAGAGCTCTCGAGTTGTGTTCAAGCACCCCTCATGTGGTACAGGATGACATCCTCCAAGGACCCACCAGCGAACCACAGGAGCTTGACCTTCAAAGAGTGAGGCTCTGCTGATCAGCAGGCCATGCCAAGAGTCTCACAAGCTGAGATGACCGAGTTCAAGACTACGACCTGAGCTGCCCCAGCACGTGGGTTTGTCATCTATGGCAGACCGATGCATGTCAATGGCCGCGTTCCCTGTGGCACTGGATGCCAACATCGTTTCGACATACCTGGCCTGCTCTGTTAGTCTCTTCCTCACTATCCTGCACCACATCCAAATATCAGATTCACGGGACCAATCTTTGCTCAGCAGCATTTGCTCGAAGAGCCTTAGGGAAACCAGGCCAGGCTTGACAGGCTACGGATAGCAATCAAGGACGGAAGTAATTCTGCCTTCATGTCAGTTGCTGACTTTGCTTGCAAAGTGTGCCCAATGCATGATGAAGGGCTTCGATGATGTCTTGCAAGACTCCGGACTCTAGACTGCTCCAGATGTCGCGTATGAGTGGATTAACATGACAAGCGAACCAGGAGACACAACACTGGCAGCTGTCCCAAACCACCCACTGCGTTTGCTTCAGACGA